TTTTTTGGCCGCTCTAAGTAAATCCATTATCTAATTTAAAACAAAAAATTCAAATAATAATTCTAAATAATAAAGAGAAAGGGATGGAACGAGTGTACCGGGATTCCGAATGTCGCACTAAATTTGATATAGAAACGAGAAAGTAGAAACTCAAACTTCAAATCTTCAATTGATATTTGATAACTTGATAATTAATGTCACACTTCACTTGAATAATTGAATTAGAAATTTATGATAATAATACTTTTGTAATGAAAGTATGAAACTTGTAAGTTGAAACTTGAAAGCTTGAAATAATGAGCAATTGAGAATATTATCAAGAGAGAATTGAGAGATAATTAGAGAGAATTGAGAGATAATTGTGAGGAATAATGAAAAAGAAAGGGGGTATTTGTAGTTTTTTAAAAGGACTCAATTGCAATTTACAAATTATAAAGGGGGGAGGCTAAAATATAAATAAAATACCAAATTTAGGCGGGTTTGCGGGCTGAGGCCCGTTAAGAACACGTTAATCCCTTAACGGGTTGTGGCGGGTTCGGGTACCCGTTTGGCGAAAACTTAACGTTACTAGCCCGCCCCCCGCCCCCCGTCCCAACCCGTACACATATGCACAGTAACAGGCTGGACCGGGCTGGACCGGGTTGAACCGGGTTGTTAGCGGGTCAGCCCGGCCCGATTAACACCTTTAGAATAAACTGGTAAACCTTGAAAATACAACTCCTATAGCATTTTGTACAACAGCCTATAGCAGTGTTCGTACACCCTTGTTCATTTATATTTATAATATATGTAGTAGTAATATATATATATATCACATCTTCTAGTATATATTATACTCCTTCCGTCTCATATTATATGTTGTGTTTTCTAAAAATAGTTGTCTCAAATTATTTGTCATTTTAGAAGTCCAAGACAAAATAAATTATATTTTATTCATTTTACCCGTAACAATAATTATTCTTGAAGATGAAGATAACACAAAATAGAGTAAATACTAAATAAAGAGGGACTATATCTTAAGTCATAAATAAGAGTAAAATAATCCAACCCTCCTCTTAATTAATGCTTCTTAAGGGACGTGCAAAAGAGAAAAAATGACAAATAATTTGAGAAGGAAAGAGTATATAGTATAGTGGTATATAACTAATTGTCTTGGAGCTTAGGAAAGTAATTATTGTGTTTTGATATGCATTTAATTCATTTATCATGAATTATAAGGAATCTCCTTATAATTGGGTAATTAATTATTGTGTCTTTGGAGCTTTTTAGGTAAGTATTTATTGTCTTAGAGCTTTTAGTTGCATAATTTGTAATATCAAAACTAGTTGTAATTTCTATAATAAACTCTTATGAATCTTGTAGTTGAAAATTTTCCGAGAAAATACCGTGGATTGTTCTTTTTTCCAAGTAAGTTTTGAGCATCAGAATAGCTTATAAATAGCAAGTAAATCTCATGAAAAGCATGGGCTGTTAGCTAACGGGTTTCTGAATGATAATGTATGTTCTTATAAATCTTTCACTTGCTGTATACTTCATAACATATCTTGTGAGTTCATAATTATAGTCTTAGATTTTTATGCAATGTCCTTTGAGTGACGAGTCACTATGGACTACACGTGGGGCATTTTCACAAATGGCCTTTTTTGAGATCACTACTTAAATCATGTCCCTTACACTAAATTTGTTTGCAAAAAGATAATTATGTAACTCCTCTAAAGGCGAAATATAGGCTTACTGCAATGCAGTGGCCTTGCTGCCATGATTCACTTAGATTCAACATTTTGTCACTTTGATTCAAAAAACTAAAGCTAACTTGAATATAATTTAAATAGTGACCTCAAAGAAGGCTATACGATGCAAACAATCCACTACACTGCTGGACATGATAAGAAAAAGAAATTTTACCTCCTATAGTAAAGGTTGATACCTTATTTATTATAAATAAATATCCTTTTAAAAAATTATCTCCTATAGCTACCTTTTAATTTTTATAACAAAATATCTATTTATGGACACTTCCTACCTTTAAGCCATTAAATAGATCGTGTATTATTTTTTTCTCTCCCTCTCTCCTCCTTTCTCTTTCCTCTTTCTTCTTTTTTTCCCTCGATTTTTTCTTTCCCTGCTTTTAGAAACCCTAGCAGGGCATGTGTTTCGCCAACGACTGATCCGGCTGGTGACCACTTCCCTCCTTCCTTGTTGTGTCACCCCTAACCCCCTCCTCCGGCTCAAAGTTGTCTTCCCATGTTTTGTCTCTCCATGCTATTTAGACCAATACTTGATGATCCCTCAAAGTCGTCTTCATATTTTTTCTGCAGAGGTTTATTGAGCTTTTGAGGAGACGAACTGCATAGGACCGAGAATTTGCCATTAATTGCCTCATAGAGTCAATGGCACCTTGTGCGTTGGATGCTAGGTCCCCTGCATATTTTTTTTAATTCCGTTATCAATAACTGTATTCATTTAATCGACGACGACGTCCCACATGGCGGCTGTTGATACTCATTTTTTCCCTATATAATTTCAATATGCAAAATAACTTCAAAATGGCATATGTATGCATATGTAAGCATATCCAAGTGTTTTATTATTATTTTCATAATTTTAAAGGGTTTTAAATCAATTTATTTTCCTTTTTCATCCATAAAATCCCAATAATTATGTCCAAAATTATTATTTTTGATGATTCATTTATTGAATCTTTATATTTATGCCAAAATATGGCTAATGTAATTATTACATATTTTTACAATCTTATTTAGTATTTTATAAAGCTAATTGAATATAATTGCAATATTAGCCTTTTAAGATTTAATTGTGTTTTATATTCATAAAAATTAAGCCCTGCATTTTTAAATTATTAATTGTATATTATAAATCATTTTAGTGCTTTCAATTTGTTTCCAGAATTTATTTACTATTTTTTATAAATTCCAAAGTGGAAAATTGGCTATTTAAATAATAGCCCAATTGCATTTAAATTGTAGCCTAAATCTGACCCCAAATCAGACCCAATTTCCCCGGCCCAATTTCATTTAAACTCGACCCCTAACCCAGTTTAACCGGCCCAACCCGGATCTCCTACCTACCCTCTTTAATCCAGGCCGTTGATCCTTCAGATCAATGACCAGCATTCACCCTTACCAT